GAGAGCTGACCTGCAAATGAAGCTATACACATAATAGAAAAAAAATTGTCATGTTTCAAAGTAGTTTGAAAACTCCCCCCTTCCACACACCTTATATCTCCCTGTTACCGAGAATGGGTGTAGCTGGAGCTGGCCATACTCTCTGCCACCTGTTCTCAGTCGCCACCACTGAGCAGGCCAGCCAGTACATTCCTCACCGGATGAATGAGCTGTGCATGCACAAAAGTGCTGCAGATAAAGCACTGGTAGCAGGAGCTAGACTGCAAGAGGTACCATAGTATCTTCCCTATGTAGAACTACTAGAGGCACCCCATCAGGGCAGGCAGCACACTTGTTAATATTCCACCCTTGCCTTTCCAGATGCTGCATTATAATACACCTTAATCCTAGCCAAAATTGCCCCTGTAATTCTATCCCTATGATCCCCCAGAGCTCTGCTCTCACCCCTCACTCCTGACCTGCAATAATCCTGCTGTTCCAGCCCTGAACTCTCCCCCACAGATGCTGCTGATCATGCCAAATTGTGCATTGGTTCCATCACATACATAAACTGGTAGTAGCGGCTGTGTGTTTGAACACAGACTCCTATAACACAGCCATGCCTGTTTCCCACACCACTCATATGCCCAGTGTAGACAGCTATATAACATACCTCTTCCATGGACAGGCATATCACAACTAGGTGTGTCACAAACCTCTCCTGTACACACACACATACACACTTATTCATCCTGCCCAGCACCCCCAAACCTACCGGCAAATACACTCATGAATGTAATATGTACACCCATTTCACCCAGAAATATCTCACACTTAGGCATATCCAGACCAGCCATGTACATGCCTTGCTCATAAACAGATCCCAGGGCTCAGCAAACTTTATATGTACCACCCACACCTTCCTGCCTTGGGCATGTAATGCACTGTCCACAATGGACGTTGCCATTGGAGCGCTCGGTTCATTTCAATCCAGACAGGACACGTAAGCGTTCTGCATCGCTCCCTGTCTGTTCCTCTTGACGACCCTTCATTTAATTTGGTCCAACCCACACCCTCTACAGCAAATCCATCCATTCTCAGAGTTAGCTGACGAGAACTGAGTTCAGCTGCCCAATTAGAAGGGAACAGAGTTTGACAGAATTCAGCTTCTTTCACCCCAGAGTACCCTAGCATTTGTTACAGAGCAATGGAGCACTGTGAGATCAGAAGTGGCCACAGCTAAGGCGCACTCTCATGTGTTTAATACCATTACTCTTTATCGTGAATGTAAGGCAGGAAAGGGCTTGCAGTGGCCGCCCCTGGAGCTTGCTGATGGTCTTCCACACACAGTTGCAACATGATCATCCATGCAGGCTGCCCACCCACCCACTGCCCTCCCAAAGTCTCTCAGTCTTGCATCCAGTCCTTAGCCACTCTGCCAACAAAGTCAATATCATTCAACTTTTACACAGGCCTGGAGGTCCATACTGCTCCTTACAAACATGGAATCAGATAAGCCGGCTGGCAAGAAGAGCTGACAGCAGAATGTTGCTGAGAATGGGGAAGTGTTGTGCGAGGAGGAAAGAAACTAGGAAATAGGCTGAGATCTACCAAACCCATGCCTTCAAATTCTAGCAGTCAGTTACAAATAACCTTGGGCGGACCCGAATCTTTGATGTACAGCACTCTGCATCTGCTCATCCTCACTGGAACGTATCTACGGCTTTGTTACATACTCTTGGTGAGGAAGACAATTCAATCAAGTATATGGGAGAGGCACAAAGCTGGACTACTGGAAAGGGAAATTCAACTCACCCATACTATACCTATCCATGTGGTAATCTGTAATGCAAAAAAGGCACTGGGTGGAGATTCCGAAAGTATCCCAGACACTGGATGATCCTTACCAGACACTAACGTGAAGCCTCAGAGGTGGAGATGGATCAGCCGGTAAAGAAGCTCTTCGCTGTGGGATGCTATTCCAAGCCGCACTCTGGCACACACACCTTCTTCACCATCCAGGATGGAAGCTGGTGGCATGGACAGAAAGGAGGGTCATGGAGACACCTTGTTGTTTTCCTTGCACAAAGCCTTCTCTCTCCAGGGAAACCGTGCAGAGAAGGTAGCCCGCATGCTCTTCAGTGAATATTCCTGACTGTTCCTGAGAAACTTGTGCCCGTCCCAGCTGTTTTCTTCCAAATCCATCTGTTTTCTAGATTAGAAGGCTAAAGCCAACTGTGCACCTCAGAACTGAGTTTTTGTTC